AGCATTAGACTGGGTAAAAACAGAACATGAATATACATAACGAAAATAAAAGAACAAAATGAAAGAGAAAAAAAATATAAGCTGAATCGTGATGTGAATGAATTCGCATGGTGTGGATGAATGAGATAGTAGGAGGGCTTTATAGGTGTGTTTAGGGACAAAAAAATATATTTAAAGATGGCAAAAAAATCGAAAGATTTATTCTTTTATGAAATGGAATTGGCATTACATTTGTTTGTTTGTGTTAATTATTAACGTTATGGTAAGTTCATAATTATATATGAAATTTATCAATTAATTAAGAGGCATTAATGGACCCCAGTAAATATATTTTTATCCGTAATTGTTGCTAACAAAAGTTAATTATCATTGGTACAATGTTATAAATGATTTTATTTTATTTTGTCCTCACAAATGAGTTGATATTTATAAGTTTCTATATGTAAATAATTGAATACACATGACAATAAATATAAGTTGCCCAAATTTGAATTTGAATTTGACATTGTTTTAAAATAAATAAGAATCTGGAAAAAAGAGAAAAAAAAGTAACCAGGGGGAAAACCCGAAAGAAATAATTGGTAAATAAAAGTCAAACAGTTTCTTAAATGAAAAAAATTTTTTGAAATATTTGCACATAAATATGTAATAAATGAAAATTTAGTATTATAATAAATACATATCTGGATTTGAAATTTAGTATTATAATAAATACATATCTGGATTTTTCTTGTGTATTAATAATAAAAAAATATAAATTTCATAACATATTTAAATTAAAATAAATTTTAATTCGATTTAAACATCCAAGTATAAAATATACTACATTTGCAAGAAATTAAAATAAATGCAAAATAAAATGATATCAAAATATATGAAATGATGGACTTTAAATTGATTGATAAAATACACTTGATTTCCATGTATGTTGATAAATTAATTAATTGATTAGTTCATTTGAATTTTTAATAATTTGTGTAAATATTATCCGAATACTAAAAAATATTAAAAAAAAATATTGTAGTTTTAATTGTAGTGTACTAGTTTAAGACGATAAATATTCAAAAATAATTAAATTAAAAAATAAAAATATTCAAATTTTATGCAGATATCCCAAAATTTTAAAATAATTGAAACGAAATGAATATATTTTTTCAAATCATTCAAATACACTAAAATTTTATAAATTATTCAAATTTATATTTAAATTACAAAATTATTAACATAACTATTTAATGAAAAATTTAAACAAAAATAATACTAAAAAAATAAAAATATTACATTTTTCGGAAAATTAAAATTATAAATAAGAAAATATTGTTGCGAAAATATGTAAACGCTAAATAATCTAGTACATGCTCAATCAAGTTCATTAATCTCAATTTCTTTTTCATCGAAACCAAGCTTACAATCATCTCACGTATAATCAAAAGATGGAAATGCGTAACTAGTTTTTTCTAAATATATCCTTACAATATACGCGGGTCATATTTATGCGTTTAATACAACGTCGCATGGCTTCTCTCTTGCTAATGTCGCCGCATATAACACAAACAATGCTATCCACGGATCTGCAAAAACCAAAAAAAAAAAAAAAACAAAGCAAACAAACACACATAAGTTAGATTGTTACATGTACACATACATAATAAATTAATAACATCATAAATATTCAACGACAAATAAATGCTTCAAACGAACACAATGATAAATACTAATTGCATTATGAATTTACAAAACAAAAGGAATAAAAAAAAGAGTTTTAGGATGAGGACCTTAGTTTAGCATGATTATAACAAAATATGTAGATGAAAAGTGAGATGAATGAGTTGGGGTTGAGATTGGGGGTATTTATACTTAATTTTCACTCATCAAATAAGTAAATAAAACGATATTAAGGAAATTATATTATATATATATATATATATATATATATATATATATATATATATATATA